ACAAGAGTATTTTTATTATATTTGTTCAAAAATTCGTTATATCAAGAGTTCGCTATATCAAGAGTTGACTGTATAAAGTTTCTATTATACGTGCTTATTTTTTTGAACGTTATTTCTCTATTCTAGCCTTTTTCTTTGAGGGTGAATCGTCTTCCGCATATGCCTTATTCTTTAATAAACTAACTACTACACCCAATACTTTTTTACACTATTACATAATGTTTGATATTCTTCAGATTCTTTATCCAAAGCATTTTCAGAAAATTTAATGCTAAATGGTAATTTACCGTTTTGTGAGATTTTTCTAGAGTATAGAGCAAGAAGTGCCAGACCTGAGCTGTAATAACAATACCATACAGATAATCAAAATCATCATCATCTTTTCGCTTCCATTTTCTCATATTCGTTGGCATGAACTCTCTAACTGTTTGATATTCTGAGCCAAACCCTTAATTAGATTTCACTCTGATTTGTTCTCAGTAACACAAATAAGATTTTTGGCTTTCTGAAACGTAAGTATGGTATTAATATATATTCGAAAAAAATGCCAAGAAATTATTCCATTATCTTGATTGCAAAGTCAACCTGTCCTATGCTTTCATCACCTATTACTTCGCATTCAGATCTCATATTGAGTTTTTCCTCTGTAGAATCTCTTGTAATATTGATTGCGGTATGATTAATTGTCACAACAGTACTTATTACGCATAGCTTCTAAGCTATTCACGACCAAAGACCCATAATTTTTTAACCTAATTAAAATTTCCGCTATAAAATGCTCAAGGTGCTTGTTGGTGTCTTGAATTTCGTGGGTTTGTAGAGAAAATAATGGGATAGTATTTGTACTATTAGAGTCAATGCTATATTTTTCCAACACTTTTTTCAAACTTTTGTATGACAAGAACACTTTATTTTTTTCTATTTACAGTCTTTAGCAAAGTTCTCAAGCTTTACAGCTAATCCTATCTCAAACCCACTATCTCTGAAATCTTATTTACCTATCTTGAGAAAAGCCTAGCTATCGATTTTTTGCTTGCAAATAATCTCCAAATCATCATTGTCAAGATCTAAGTTTTTTTCTGTAAAAATTCAATAAGAGCATTTGTTTTATATTTTTTAATTTCTTCCGCCAGTGTGATCGTCTCATTTTCAGCAACAGTAGTAGAGGTGGAAGCTGGAGTATAAGGTGTACTAGTTTCAGATAATGTACTTTTATAATAATATTGGACTCAGATAAAAAATAGTGTTACATTTCGAAGTAAGAACTAAAGGATAAAAAATTATTTCTGTTCAGAAAGAAGAACTGAGCATTAATATAGATTTTTATATTACACAGGTATTACACCATTACACGTGAACCACTTTCTCATATACATTCGATAAAATAATACTTTATTTATGAAATAAATCGTTGCCAGAACTTGGCTTACAATACATAAAAATATTACTATATAAAAAGGTTTAGAATTCTATAATAATATGAATTTTATCACTCGGAGGTTCGACAGGAAAATGGTCAGAAATTAATTTATATAGAAAAATTGCTAATTTTTTATCGATCTCATTTTCCTTGTTATAATACTCAATCTGATCAGAAATTTTTGCAGTTACTCCGCTATTAGCCTTATAAATAATAAAGTTATTCAAATTAAGATTTGTGAAGAAAGATGTCTATCAATTTCTTATCATAGTTCTTAACTTGTCAAATGTTTCATTTGTGATGATTTTAAGCACAGTTATATGATGACCTGGAATATTATTATTAGATGGGATATGAGGGAGAAAAAGACAATTGAGCTTAATAGTTTTAGTCATTAACTAACTCATGTTCATTTTCTAATGTAAAACCCATAGTAAAAATTGTTATCTTATGGATACAAGAATACTTCGAACCATTTTGTTGTAGATAATAAAATTTATACATATCTTATTTTCTCTAGAAAAGTTTTTGCAGGAAGGTTGACTGAACTTCCACATACCTCTACATGCTTTATATCTTGCTGAAAAAAAGTTAAGGAGGTATGTGACGTAATTAGTATTGTCATCTGATGTCAAGAACTTTATGAAAGCATATGTAAACAAAATCCTTATACCTTTTACATAGGAGATCTACCAGAGAGACATATAGTTAGTTTTACACTTGGCAATCTCAAAATTACAAAGTTCTCCGCCTTTTATAACATATGTTTTTGCTATTATTATTTACTTTTACGGTAGATCCTGTATTGCAACTAGACCTCCTTTCACATTTTCTTCATGTTTGTTTGGGAAAAAATAAAGAACAAAGATTAACATGTCGAATATATATGTGAAAATTATTATGTCATACAGACCTATTACAGTAGCGGTCATAAGTATCTGACCGATAATATTTTCTAAAATCAAGTAATAATATCTGTTAAAATTTTTCAAAATTTAAGTTCAATACCAATGTTGATCACATGTAAAATTATAAATTTGTATCATGTATAATTTAGAAGTTAGATGATCGGTAGATTTTATATTTTAAAAAAAATAACATTTTTTTTATGTAAATAATTTCATTTTTTTATTATTTAACGCCTAAACTCCTTAAATATATAAAATATATAGAATTTTTTTTTAATATATTAATTTTTTAGGAGTTATTACACATTTTTTATAGAATTTTAGATAGATTACACAATTAGTTAGAGAACTTCAATAATACTGTATTCTTCCTTTTAATTTTTGAATAATGTTTGTATTTATTAACTTTTTGCCAAATTTACTA